GGCTTGTCATTTGTGCGAGGACAAGAGGAGGGGGGTGGTAGTGGTGGTGGTGGGGAGGCAGCATGGGAGCAGTTCAGGCGGCGAAAGTGGCACAGGCAGATCCCCTCTCAAAAGGGAAGTCTAATCTCAAGAGCATGCACCAGCGGCAAGCGCTCGCGGGGATGCTCTGGTCTGGCCTTTCTTCAAATGGAAGAGGTGGACATAGAGAGAGAGAGGGAGAGAGGCTGGCGAGGGAGGGGACTCTGCTGTATGGAGGAGGCAGTTACTTCTTCCGGGCCTTGGCGTTGGCCTCGCGCGACTGGCGGAGGTTGGCACGCAGGGCCTCGGCCTTGGCCTTTCGTCCCTTGGGGGTCTCCTCCTCCAGGGACATGTCTGACAGGGCGATGTTCTGCTCGGGAACGACAATGCCGGAGACCAAGCGATCGGCGGCAAACTGACGGCGCACGCCGTTGGCCTGCCAGGCATCCCAAACGTGCAGGTTGCCCTTGCTGCTGGCCACAGCCACAAGCATGGCCGCATCAGGACTGAAGCTGGCATCGAAAATCTTGCCCTACGTTCCGGAAGCGAGGAGCGAAGCGAACCAGGTAGCTGTGTTAGGGACCGGGGGGGGGGGGGGTGCAGACAAGAAGAGGCAGGGACAGAGGGAGGGAGAAGCTCGACCAGGGGTGACATACCATGCCCATGTCGCGAGAGTAGCTCATGGACGGCTTGCCAGAGGCAATGTCCCACAGCTTGATGGTTCCATCGAAGGAGGCCGTCAGCATGACCTTGCGGATGGTGGTGGAAAAGTCGAGGGCCGTGACGGTGGCATCGTGGGCCATCAGCTGGAAGAGCGGCGTGTCGGTCTGACCGGAGCGCGCGTCATAGTAACGGATGAAGCCGTCCTCGGTGGACACGGCAAAGCAGTGCGGGTCGAAGGGGTCCCAGCGAAGGGCCTCCACGTCGGCCGAGACAGCCCACTCGCGCACGGCCGTCGGGGCGCGCGAATCCCACGCACAAACGCGCTTGTCATAGCCACCAGACAGCATGGCCGTGGTCTCGGCCGGGTTCCACTGGATGCACTGAACCTTGGACCGGTGGTGGGCGTAGCTGTGGATGGACTGGGCGGTTTGCAGGTCCCACAGGCGGACGGTGGTATCGGCCGAGCAGGAGGCGAGCAGGTTCCTGCATCGGTGTCCAGGCATTTGCAGTGCCCGGCCCCAGGGCGGGCGTGGAAAAAGCGACGCGGTTGGTGCGGGTGAGTGGCATGGCGAAGGGGGGGCGGGGGCGGGGGCGGGGGCGGGAGAGGATGGCGGCACGAGCGCCCGCGGCGCCGGGGCGGCACATACCGGTGGGCCTTGTTCCAAGACAGCCCAAGCACGGCATCCGTGTGGCCGGTAAACTTCATCTCCGGGGCCGGCTTGTCGCTGCCCTTCTTGGACTTCTTCTTCTTGGTGGCGGCATTGCCCAGGGTAGACAGCGCGCCGGCCTCGGTGGCCAGCTCCTTGGCGTTTCCGAGCACCGCGGTCGGGAACAGGGAATCCATGACATCCAGATCCCAGATCTCGATGTCCGGCTCGAAGGTGCCGACGGCCACGAAGTTGCCCAGCTTGCCGGCCGACTGGTCGACCGACATGCCGACACGGTAGTCCAGCCACTCCAGGCACAGGGGGAAGGAGGGAAGCATGAGATCATGGTGGCCGAAAAGATTGGAGTCGGCCTCCTCGTACACCTGGATCTCGAGGGTGGACAGCTCGTCCTCGGTCTTGGCTGCCAGCACCAGGCGATCGGTCGGGCGGATGACGATGTCGTCGATCTCGTCGTCGCTGGCATCCTGCACGGTGATGTACGGGTCGTCCTCATTGCGCTCGTGGTACTGCAGGCCCTTGACACCGCCAATCAGGTTGAATGCTGTGGGATGGGCAGGGGGGGGGGGGAGGGATTAGGGGCACATGGCACACGGGTACACAGAAGGAGGGGTGAGGAAAAAAGGGAAGGGAGGGGGGGGCACGGCCGGGTCGAGCCCCTGCGCCACAACATACACGAGACATCCTCCTGCGCGGCGATCTCCGCATCATAGTCACCAAGACCATACTCGGCCAGGTCGTCCGGGATTTGATCATCCTGCTCGAGCTCGCCATCGGCCTCGTCATCGCTGTCGAGCGAGTCGTTCATGCGAAGCTTCTTGGAGGTCAGATGCGCATTGCGCATGAGCTCGTCCTCCGCCACGGCGTCGTCCCCCTCCTCGGCGGCGGGGTTCTCCTGCAGCAGGAGGGCATGCTGATCGGCGATGGCCGACAGCTGAGCAAGCTCCTCCTCGGTGGGCTCGTAGATCGTGGGCAGGGCCTGGGCGACGCCCATCCGGACCCAGGTAACAGCGGTGATGATACCCATGGTGATGAAGTGGGGGGGAGGGGGGAGATGCGAGAAAAGGGCGAGATTGGAGGGGGGGCCGGTACGCGGGAACAGAAGGGGAAAGGGGGCGCCGAGTCCCGAGGTCGAACGGCAAGAGGAGTGTGCGAGAGAGAGGGGGGGGGGGGGGGAGGGGGTGTGAGGCCGCCGGCCCCACAGCCGGGGCCCTCAGGCGGCGGCTTTTTAGCTGGCAGCGATGATCTGACGCCTGGAGGGCGGAGAGCGCCCTGCGGTGTGGCCCTGTGCCGCAGGACACAGACCGGCGTGGAAGGGGGAGATTTCGTCTCTTTGCGTCCCGCCCCCCCTCCCCCCGCCCCCGAGTCCCGGCCATCAGGAGCAGGGCCGGGATGTCGGGGGAGCATGCGGCCGGCCGCCATGCTGCGCCGGGAAGAGTGGGCACTTGCCTTAAGATCGGAACAGCATTATGTTCGGTGTGAGTGGGCACTTGCCGGTCGTGCGCCCGGCGCTGACACCGATGAGGCCCCGGGAGGAACGTGTTTGGGTACGGGCATCGGCCAACAGTGAGATCCTCATTTCCCCCCTCTGCCCCTCTGCTCGCTCCTCGCTCCCCGCTTCGTTTTCTCCTGGTCTTTTTCCCCCTCCCCCCCTCCCCTGTGTCTGGCATCTGTCTCGGCCTGCTGGTCTTGTCTTTGCCTCTCTTTCTGCCTCTCTTTCTGCCTCTCTCTGCCTCGCTCTCCCTCTCGATTGCCTGTGGCCGGCTTTGCCCTTTTCTCTTGCACCAGGTAAGACGATGTCCGACCCGACTGGCGGGCCGCCCTCTTTCCTGGAAAAGGCGCGGACCTTGGTGAACAGCTTCGTCGACAACATCCTCCTGCTGGAGCCATACAACCCGGACCATGTGCCGACCGATGCCGATCGATACAAGCTTGTCACCTGGGAGTCCGTGCGCGCTGCCTACCGGCGGCTTCACCGGGATGGGCACTTTCTCGATTCGTCCTCCACGTTGTTTGGCAAGTTGTGCGTAATCTCCCCGGCTCTTCCGGTCATCCATGTGGTTCCTGCCCGTTGCTGACATGGGGGTTCTCTGCCTGCCCGGCCACCCGGGACCGGCCATTCTCTGGCCCCCGGTTCGCTGTGTGGGTGAACGTGTGGCCACATGTGGTCGGGTGTGTCTGGTCGGTCGCCTTGCTGCATGGGTGCAGTGTCGACTGGGGCTACCTCGCCATGACCACGCCGTATGTGGTCCTGGCGGCGACCGTGTATTTGGTGTACTTCCGCCGGGTGAGCTCGTTTTCGAACTTCCGGCGAGCCTCCTCGCACCTGGGCGGTGCCGGAGGAACATCCATCGGGGATGTCCTGGCCCCGGGCACCGCGGCATGGCGGATGATGCATGCGGCGGCTCTGCGCGATGCGCACGAAACCGCGCAGCTGGTCCGCGATTACGGTCGAAATGGGCACCTGGCGGAGTTTGTGCGCTCGGCGGCCCGGCGGCATGGGCGCGATCCGGCATCCGTGCGTGGGGCCCCTGCCGCGGTGGCTCTCTCGCTGGAGCGCTCGGCGGCCGAAGAGAGCCGTCTGGCTGCGGAGGCCCAGCTGCCGGCCGCCTGGCGGCGGGTCATTTCCTCACCCGATCGCGTGGTCCCGCTGGCAGGGACCTTCGAGTCGGGCCTCGTGCAGCATGCGGACACATTGGCCTTTGTCAGCCTCGGGAGTCGAATCTTGCCGCGGTACGCTCCCAGTGCCGCGGCCAGGGGGGAGACCGAGGCCGGCACCGAGGCCGGCACCGGGACCGGATCCGGGGCAGCCTTCTCGCCCGGGCTGAACCTGGCGCTGGACCCGCGCCAGTGCACGGCCACCGACGCGGCCCGGATCACGGACTTCCCGGTGGCCGACACTTCCAGCGAGCCCTGGCCGGTGCAGCCCACGATCACCAACGACCCGCATGATCTCCCCTCGCGTGTGGGCCCCGGGGCCCAGTACCTCTGGGCCGAGAGCCCGGCGGCCGAGCTGCTGTTTGCCGAACGCCATGCGGACATCGCGGCCCTCGGGGTCAAGCCACCGGCGGTGATGCTGGCTCTGGGCCTGCAGCATGGTCGCATCCCCGGGCTCAAGGTGCCGGCCGCTTCCACCGCGGACAATGTCTTCCCCCTGCACATCCCGGACGAGGCGGACTTCACCATGACCACCTCGGAGCTGGTGTACCTGCGGTGGGGCCTGCGGGCGCCGTTCGTGCGCAAGGAGAAGTGATCACGTGTCAAATATGATAGATTCTCGAAGATTCGACCCCTGGCGGTCTAGCATGTTCGTGTGCGTGCGCCGTCTTTCGGTGTGTGTGCGTGTGTCTGTGTGTCTGTGTGTCTGTGTGTCTGTGTGTCTGTGTGTCTGTGTGTCTGTGCGTGTGTGTCTGTGCGTGTGTGTGTCTGTACGTGCGCGCGTGCGCGTGTGTGTGAGTGGATGCTCACCTCCTTGAGCGTGCCGGGCGTGGGGCGCGCAGGGCCCGATGGTCGGCGGGGCTTTTTTGGACCTTTTTCCGCCCACAATGCCGTCGTGCGCTCTGGCGTGGCCTGGCGCCGGGTGTTCTCTGGCTGCCGCGAGTTTTTCGCGTTCCGTGCCGCGGCGTTCCGTCAGGCGTGGGGCGACTGGACGCCGGCGGGGGGACTTAGACAGGGGTTTGTGCGGGGGACATCGGGGCTGGGGCGTCGGTGGCGGTGCGGGCATCGCACACGACTGGACAGGCCGAGCATCCACCTCGGGGCGGCCGGGGCGGAGATGGGGGCCGCCTGGCCCCCCCCCCCCTCCCCCCGGCCTCCCTCACGGCCCCCCCCCGGGCCTGTGTGTGGCCCGCGATCGTTCCAGATTGCCCGGGCTTCTGTCGTCCTGCGTCTCCAGGCCCCCCGTGTGGTGGGGGGTTTATCGGGCACCGTCACCGGTGTCCGCGGCCCCCGGGGTGCGGGCAGCGCAATTCACTGATTCGCCCCTCTCCCTTTCGAACCGTCTTTTGCCACTATGTCTGTATGTGTGGGGCCTTCCCTCCGTCCTCCCTTCCCTGCCCTCATCCGCATCGGCGCACCTTTCCCGCATCCGTCCTGCCTCCTGCTTGCGTCTTTTCTGACATATGCCCTCCTTTGCCCCGTCCTGATACATGCACATGCGCACGCACACGCACACGCCCGCTCCCTCTCCCCCCGTCACCCGCTTCACAGGCCGAGGATCTTAAGAACCGCGGTAACGCCGCCTTCTCCGCGGGCAACTTCACCGAGGCCATCGACCTCTTCACCCAGGCGATTGACCTTGATGACAAGAACCACGTTTACTTCTCCAACCGCTCCGTGCGTCTCTGGCCTGCATCCCTTCCGTCCTTGCTTGGTCTGGTCCCCCCTGCCGAGGGCTGCTTCCTTACTGACTCGTCTCCCCTCCCGATCCTCGGCTTCCCCCC